ATCTATCTATCTATCTATCTATCTATCTATCTATCTATCTATCTATCATCTATCTATCTATCCTATCTCTCTATCTACCATCTGACCACTTCGGGGCCTCTCGTAAGCCAGCAGGTTGTTTTATCCTCATTGGCAACTTGATAGGTGCAGTCTGTCCTGAACGCCAACGCGGCGCCCCCCTCTGGGGCTGTGCGCCCTGACGCGGAATCCCGAACAGGAGGACGGCCAACCTCCCTCCCTCCCTCTCTCCTTTCTCCCCTCCACCCCCCACCCCCCCATCTCCAAACTGCAGCACTTTTGAAAGCGCCAGGCAGTGCTTTCCAAGTTTGAGGGATGCTGGGTATTGTAGTCTGAATTCCGCTTTAGCGTTCCCCCCTCCATCGCCCTTGTAGAATAAAGCTTGTTATCTTTTGTGGCGGCGGTGTTGGTGTTTGCCTCCGAGTTGTGGCTGCGGATGTGGGATGTGTGCAACCCGAGGTGCCTGGCTGTGTGGTGTTGGTGTGGGATTAAGAGATGGCTGGGTCCTAGTGCCCCACGGTTGGCTGCATGACCTTGGCTCAGTTCCATCTCTTGATGTACTGTTGGCAGCAACCAAGACAAGCTAAAAGGATATTCTCTCTCCCCCTCTTCCCCCACCCCCTTTCATGATTCAGAGTGACCTGCCTTGGTAGCTTAAGGTCCTCTGGATAAGCTGATAAACTGGTGTGGAGCACAGAAGCCAGGCTGAAAGGTGCCGGTTGAGATAAGACTCATCCAAGAGAGGTTTGGTCCTGGGGACGAGCAGCTGTGAATCTGCCTCTACCAATGCAGAAGTTACAGAGCATTCCCAAAACCCTCTGTGCGCACAAATGCAGCATGCAGAGTGTGGTGCGCATCCATCCTACCCCCCCACCCCCACCCCGGTTGGGCTTAGGCCAGGTGGCTTTGCTTTCTGATCTATAGAATTGCAGAGTTGGAAGGGACCTGGGAGGTCTTCTAGTCTAACCCCCTGCTCAGGCCTGTCCCATTTAAGACAAATGGCTGTCCGGTTTCTTCTTGTAAGCCTCCAGTGATGGAGCCAAGGAGCCCACGACTTCTGGAGCCAAGGAGTTCCACTGGTGAATTTCTGCTAAGTTCTAAACGTTGGGACATTTCTGCTAAGTTCTGGGTTGCTTCTCTTGTTGGTTAGTTTCCAAATGCCGCAAAGGAACTTAGCTTGTATGAATTATGTAGGAATTACTCTACTTATCTATCTCTGTCTATCTGTCTGTCTATCTATCTATCTATCTCTATCTATTCTCTCCTTCCTTCCTTCCTTCCTTCCTATCTTCTGTGTGCCTATCTATCCTCAATTTATTATCTATGGTATATCTATGATCTCTACCTATGTATCCATCCAGTTATCTATCTATCTATTGTCTGTCT